ACTGTAAGAGAAGCATTATTCTTTAAAGAGGATATGCAAATTTAGAGAAGAAATTTTTTTAAGTATTTCAACATGTTTTTTATTTTTAAAATAATGTTATTTAATACTATCAATCTATATATATGACATTATGTGATAAGTTTAATTAAATGTGAAATTATTAATTCATTTAATTGAACATCTAATTTAAAGACATTAGTGCTATCACCTAAACTGATGGATAAACACCAGTTATGCTAAATAGAAATTACTCTTATAACACTGAATTTTAATACTTCAAAAAATATTTATTATTTTATCATATTTTTTATTTTCACTGGCTTCTCTCCAAGTCATTATATTATTTTCATCCATTAAAATTTGAAATATTTTGAATCCACTTAAATATGTGGAGTGAGTTTAACTCTTCAACTTTCTATTTTAAAATGTTAAGCGGAGAGTCATTCAGAGCATAATTTTAGGGTGTGACTCTTTTAAATAAGGAGTATTGTATGTTTAAAGAATCCTTTGGAGATGATATTAACCTTTGAATTTTGATGTTAAACCCAAAAAAATAAAGAATGAATTAAGCGATTGAGACATTTGTTCTATAAGAAAAAACAGAAATACATATTTTGGTTAATGATCTTATAAATATTTGAAAAATTTAGAATAATTTATTTTTCATATTCTAGAATGGAATATTTTTTCGCCCCATGTTCGATTTAGATAAAAATTAAATTTTAAACAGATTTTTATTAGTTGCGAATTTCATAAAATGTATTATTAAACTTGATTGTTGACTTTGACTTATATTTTAAAATAACATTTTAAATAAATCTGACAAGCTCAAAATTATTTATTTTGATTTAAAAAAACAAAAAAAAAAAACCGAAAAAAGGAAGAAGGGTTTGTGGTTTAGTTAATTGTAACGATCACGTTAAACCCTTGTTTGTCTCTCATTCTATATAATCATTGTCAACCATATATTCACACAATAAAATATTCAACGCGTAAATCAATTTTTTTTTTAACACTTTTTAACCATAAATTTTCAAAAAAATTAAAAAAAAAATTAAAAAAATCACTATTTAAAATAACATTTTTCCAAAAAAAATGACCACCCATGTATAACTCATCATCAAAATCGATTAATAAGGATAAAGCACCCGAGTGGTTATAAAATTTAAAAACCAAGCCTAAAATTACATTTCATCTTTAAAAAACCGATTAGATACACATGGCACATAATTTTGTAATAATGTTGTGATTTTATTAAAATTTTAAAATAATAATATTTTGTTTGATATTTTTATATAGGGAAAATTGTAGCAACAGTCTCAAACATTTCACTTGCGACTTTTATATTTTAATTTTTCATTTATAGCGCCCACAGTTCCAAACTTTATAATTAGTTGCAATAGGAGGACAAACGGACAAAACCCATCCATTTGACCGTCGGTTGACAAGGAAATAAAATTATGACCTTTTAAAAGGATAAAATTATAACTTGATATTTTTCACATAAAATAATTAAAAAAAATAAAAGAAAATAAATTTTTCATCCTCTTCTTGAACCCCACTCTCACCAAAACCAAACCCATAGTGAAATCAGCTACCTTTAATCGCCACAAATAATTCTATTTGTACATAAGGAGTTACAAAAAGTTTTATAGATAGATGAGGTATCAANTTTTTTTTTTTTTTGTTGAATAAGTTTTGATCAATAACATCTTACCACATCATGTGTATGTATACTACTATGTAAATTGTAATATACATGTAGCACAAATGCCAATGCTCCTACCTTCCACCATCACCACATTCAAACTAGGACGAATAAGTTCACCAATCTGTGGCTATTAGCCATAGAAGTAATGAATGCAGTAAAAATAGCAGAGCGAGAAGAGGGCATTCCACCAGAGATGCACAATCCTAAAATCTCATTTCTTCTCTACAAAAAATTCAAGAAAACCTTCATTGATTGAACAATAGCCCAAGCAAATAAACCCT